ATATTATTTGTCATCATGGATATTCAAAAATTCTTTTGTCTGATTAGGAATATTCTTTTTGCAATGAAATAGTAGATTCTTTATGTAGGATTATATCTACTCGACACTGTTTATCACCTGCAAACAAATAGTCTAACTGAGAGATTTAATAAAACACTCTGCTCTACTTTAGCGAAGTTGGTAGAAGACTATAAAACTATATAGGACACCTTGTTACCTGCAGCTCTATTCACATATCGAACCCTTCAGAATTATACTACTAAGTACGCTTCTTTTTTACCTAATGTATGAACACCAAGCTACCATACCATTAGACCTACAATTACAAAAAAAAAAGGATCTCTAGAAGTATTGTTAGAAAAATCACTAGAACAACATATTGAAAAAATAACAGATCCATTGTATCAGAAGAGGCTCCAGGCTCAAAATAATATTCATAGAGCCCAACAGTGACAAAAAGAGTACTACGACAAAAGAATTAAACCAGAAAAATTTAAAATTAAAGAACAGGTTCTAGTATATAAATCAGCTAAAGAAAAGGTTTACGGTGACAAGCTAAGAGAAAAGGATCTTACTATATTCACGACTATGGCATACTAAGAACATACAAATTGTGAACTGAGGAAAGAAAAATCTTGAAAACGTCATAAACATAGTCCACTTAAAAAAATAATATAGCTATTCTATGTGAGAACCTAATATATACATTTAAAGTTTTATAGTGATGGCAAAATTAAAATTGTATCAATTATTAATGATTATCATTGAGGTTACAAAATATGTGACACTCAGAAAACCTCATATTTCAAAGAAGGAGGAGGTGTAACATAATCATTTACTATATCCTTAGTAGGGTTGGGGCATGCTCTTTTTTCAAAAAATTTACATATAAAAAAATTGTCATACAAAAAATTTTGGGAGCATGCCTATAGGGCATGCTCTTAAAACAGAGGCATGTCCAGGGGGTATGCCCAAAAAATTTTCTGTGCCCCTAGCCCTAGTCCTTAGGAATGATAGCGATTATGTGATACTGATATACCATAATGATCATATGACCACAACAACAATCACGATATCTCAACGAACTCATCGTTTAATAGCTATTTAATTCTATTTTACTTTTTATTTATTAACTGTTTATTTTATTATTATTTAGAAGACTATTTATTTATTTATTTATTTAACTATGTATAAAT